AAACTTTGCAGTATCACATTATACAGTTCGTATAGTATAGTTGTACATTTCACAAGTACGCGACTGTACCTACCTATATAGACGTGAGCGATTTATAAAATCACGTAACTATGTAATATATTAAATGCCGTTATAGACGTTTTATCTGTTAGTATTTTGGTCGCCGGCGATTTTCTGGATAGGAATCGCGGAGTTATGGAATGCGAAAATGTCACGAACGTCGGAATTTAATTTTGTATCGGTGAATTTTGGCCCATATTATATTATATAATATATAGTAATAGGGCGTTAAAGTTTTCAACTGATGGCCATTTAATTTTTAATAACTATTATCCAGGCACAACTAATTTTCGAATTAATACCCGTCGACGATTCGGGTATTATATCGATGCGTATTGTTTAAAATTAATTTTCACTTCCGCTAAACTTTATTGTAACACTATAGGTCGACACGCAGTTTATCCGTTGCGCTACACCGCGAGTAATTCAGTAGCAAATTAGTTAGCAGGGCCGTAAAATAAAATTTACAGACTAGACTAATAGTTGTGTTCAAATCAGAAATTAATTAAAACATTTTCCGAAAAGAAAAACAAGAGTAATGACCATTAACGCGTGCGACTATTATATTATACGAACGAATTAAAATTGCATTTTAAATTATAATGCATGTGCAATTAAAATAAAAGGTCACCGAGTACGATAATTAAAACGAGTTATTGGGTTGGATAAGTGAATTGTGCTATTACATTTTAAAATAAGCATTTGATTTTAGTTATTTGAAACCTTTTGTAAAACGAAAAGCACTGCGTTTAATGTACTTGAAATCAGTATAATGTAAAATATAATAAATAAACTATAACTAAAAAAAATAAAAATACATTTTAGATTTAACAAAATAATAAGTATTTTGTTGGTATTTTATAAGCAAATAATTTTTCATAATTTACAAAGTAAATAAAAAAACAAAAGAATTTAGTAAAATTTTCGCAATTAACACGAAGGAGTTTTGCATTTTTTGAACATTACGATATTAATATTATAATATTAGCGTATGTATCACTAATTTATATTATACTCGATCTAAAGAAATTTATACATTTTGATTAGATTAAAAATAATGACAAAATAGTCATTTAAAAATAAGTCTTGTCTGTGGGCCAGATAAAGTTTGTCCACAGGACGTTGGTGTCTTTGCATTAGTGACTGTACGCCACACATATATCCGACCTCATCGAGCATGAATCCCCTAGCCGGTATGCCGTCCAAAACCTAAGTGTGTCTAGTCTTCGAGTGTCGGTTGGAAAAAGGGGAGGGGGTCAGTCCAAGTTCACTCGGCCGACACAAAAGCCATGAGCTCGAGGTCCAAGTCTGATAATTTTGGACAGTAACAAAACTGCTTGTGTGGAGGTTTATGCATGAAAAAATAATTTAACTATGAAAATCCTAATTTTATAGTTAATAAACACTTAAATACAAAACCAATGAAACATCAATGAATCTATATCTATTAACAATATCTTACTGTTGATTTATTTAGCCTGTATCTGGTATATACTATAGTGAAAGTCATACAACTAATTTTATTTTTATTCATCAAATCACCGTTTGGAGTGCTGTTCGAGCTAGGGTTTTCAGTTTCCACACGTATCAGAATAGCTGTTTCTGTGAGTCGAATGTAAAATGGGTAGTCACGAAAACGACAGATTTATCTTAGCTATGGTCTTCAACTTTTAGAGGTAGCGCGGCTGGGCCAACTATAATTGTTTTTTTTCTTAAAAATTACCTTAGGGGCTGAATTCGTAAAAAAAAAACACGTATTACATGATTAAAAATATTTTGTTAAGGGGCACACGGACTGTGCTTAAAACTTGATGGTGAGCCTCAAATACCCAATGATAAGGAGGGTCACGGGCTTAAGAAGACACGATACGTCCTATCTCAGCTCATTTTGCATCCACTGCACTCACTGTCTTAATTAGTGGTGCACACCACATCATAATAATAAATTGTGTACTGTGTACACAGAGGACAGAATATAATATTTTTATAAAGGCGCGAGGATGAGACCGCAGCGTTGATATTTTCCATTCAACGATGTACAACGAAAACGTATTTTTTTTTATTTTGTTTTCACGAGAGCTTCACAGCGAGAAGTTTTGTTGTTATTGTTTTTTGTTTTTTTTTTTTTTTTTATATATATTATATAATAATATATTACAAGATATTATGTGTGTATTGTTCTCGGCGACCGTATTTTTACAGTCGATCTTTAAAATACAAAAGTTCGGGATAAAAGAGCTACTCGTATATTTTTTGTTTTTCGTTGTTGCGAACAATGGACGGGCCCGCACATGTACGCACTTTAACGAAAAACCCGCCTCGGGCGTCAATGTATTCAGAAAAAAATTATTACTGACGAGGTTTATTATAATACGGATGTGTCTCTGCAATAATCCCTGCAAAACACACATTTGCACACACACGTGTGTTGTGAATGTACCGAAGTTTTTTTTATTTCGTTTTTCGCTTCCTCGCCGACATTATTATAATTTATAAGTATTATTATTATTATATACCTTATATTATAATATTAAGAAGTCAAGAATTTTTTTTTTACTTTCTACGTTACGAACTCGTATTATAAATGCACGTAGTCGACGAGAACGATTATAATTAAAATAATATTATTATTTATTTATTTGAATCTATATATACATATTTTTTTCTTCGAAATAGTCGTTTTCGTATGTATTATAATACAATATTTTTTGTTGTATAATAAGCATATTATTATGATTTTTTTTAGTTTTTTTTTTAAAATGTTTACTCGAAGACCATCGAATTAAGGAGTCACTATTGTATTGATTAGTAACATAATAATTTAGGAAATTTTATTTCGTGGCACTATATTATTATTCTTTCGAGGTGACGGGGGACGGTATAATTAAATTCAATAATCCCATAATTTGGGTTTTGGTTACGGGTGTGAGGCGTTCGATTTTGATAGGTATAAAACTGTGTTGGACGAAAAAGCTCTATGATTGTCCGATTATAGTTTGTGAGGATTATATCAGCTGTTATTCATGAATTTCATTAAATATACATATTCATCGAATTTGTCACTATACCTATTTGATTCAAATATAATAATATAATGAGAACTATGATTTTATAACAAACAAAAATAACTAGTTCTTCATAATAAAATTCTATTAGTTTAACATAAAAGCTACATCGTCTTGATCATTTAGTGTTGACAAATTTAATGAATGTTTATTTATTGATATTTATCCATTCTTAACTATAAAATATATATAATGTTTATACACAATAAAAGTCTTCAATCATCTATTAATAAAGAGTTTTTTTTTTTCCCAACATTGGACTTATAAAAAATCTCCATATGTATCTATGCAGAGAACTACACACGTTATATAGGTACATACAACTCTAATAAAAATAATAATATTTTTATCTATTCAAAAAAGTTGTCATAACATTAGTTGATTTTATAAGCACAGTACATAGACGGCCTTTTTTTTTAACTATACAGTATTTTAACTATAAGGTTTCAAAAATATTTTTTCTTACAAAATTTGAAAGCATTACTAGTAAATTTTGATAAAACAATTTTTTTGACAACATGCATTTTAAAATGTCATATTCTAAATCAAAATAATTTTCTAATAATTTTATGTATAAAATTATGTACAAAATAAAAGTATACGTCGTTATGTATAAAATAACAAAAGATTAAGAAATCGTGACAATAGAAAATGGTTACACTAAAAACCAATATTGAATTACTTTTAAAAAATGTTGTGTCGTAATGACTTTAAATCATGTACAAAACATTATCAAGAGACAAGTACATAATATGCGTTTACCGAGAAAATAACTGTAAGTGATAAAAGAAGCACTATGTAGACGTCATTTATACGATAAAATTATTACAGATGACTATATTAAGAGTGCAGGGTTACGGACAAGATATAATAATACGTATGCAGGGTAATATATATTTTTAATAATAAAACACGAGGATATTATAAAGTATTATAAAGACGCAACAAAATCGTTTTACTATTATTAGACTATCGAAGCTATAGTAGCCCTACTTTACCGATACGGTCGAATTATGCAAAATATAATAATATGACGTCTACACTAAAGACATCAAATCCATCGAGGATAATAATAGCTAGTATCTAAGGTCGTCAGGAATGAAAAAAAACGAATATTACGTGCATTAGTAACAGTTCAACTAGGTATAGGTACCCTAATAAGTATAGTAGTTATCAAATTGTATTGTAAAAATGTTGAACTCGACGTTTTCTCTATAATATTTATTATTTACTATTGTTCATGCTGATTTACGATCAGGTTTAATAATAATATCTTCGTTCGTGTAATAATATAAAAGCGTATAATGGGCAGGAAGTGAACTACGACGGATGAAGGACTTAAGTATACTGGGATCGTATTATTATTATTATTTGTTTTGTTATACAGATTTTACTATGAAACACTATATTTTTTTGTTTTGTTTTTTAGACTGATACAGACCGTATCGGTTTTAGCCTTTCCTTAGTCCTTAAGCAAATTCGTCGTTTCGTCTTCTGTCTAAAAAAAATTTAAAGAAATGTCACAATTTTCCAATAGTAATTGAAAAGGATTTGGATTATGTCTCTAGCTATTGTCGCGTTTGCACAGCGAGAACAACAATAATAATAATATGCATCGCTGAAACGGAAACGTACACTTAGGGGCACCAAAGTATAGCGGACACGTCTGTAGAATAAAGTACGGACCTGAGACGGAATCGGTCAAAATTTAATAATCGTGCAAACGGGACGAATATACCGTCTCGACGGGGTTCGAGTCCATATCGGGTGGTTTTCGTTCCTGGGGGTCGCGGGGCCGGGTATAGGTTTTTGGCATTATTTACCTGACTGTCTACACAATAATATATAGATACGTCGTGTGGTGAAGGTACTTACATTCCAAGTATTTGGCGAGGTCGTAGTCTCTGGTCTGTTCTGCTATCTGCTGAGCAGTCCGGTCTTGTTTATCGACGGCCAATAGAGGCGCCCCGGCCGACACCAATAGGTAACAGATCTTTCGTTCGCCGTTTTGGACAGCCACGTGTAGCGCCGTCTGCCCCCTATACGCGAAATGCAAAAAAAAATGCTCTAAATACAATTTATTTGACTTACTGTAAAAGACTATAATTACAATAATTATATGCGAAATTGAATTTTGTCGGTTAATCTTTCGAAACAAATGGACCGATTTCAAATTAAAAGTTATACCAATATTATAGATTAGTTGGGACTCTAAGAGGTGACTTCTTATCACGGAATAACAACAACCCCTATATAGAGGGGCTTCATACCTGAATGTTGTCCTTAAAATACCGAGGTATAGTTTTTTCGTAGGAAAAAAAAATTCCCTGAAAAATGTGGGGCCTGATGAGGCAGGTGCCCTTAATTCCCTCCATCAATTCCTGCCCTGGGAGTAGCTTTAGGCAAAATATTATATAGTATAAAAGTGTATTACATCAAAATATTCACTCTAACCGTAGCCGTTAGTCGGTGAAAAGTTTCGAGTTTTTATTATGTTTGAACTTTATTGCAGTGTAAACACAAATATATAAAAAAAATGTTCACAACTAAAACGAGTGCTTTTCATGTAAATATGTACATAATTAATTGTAGGGTGGAAGTCATTCTTAGGAAAAAAAAATTAAAAAAACCAAGTCGGGGGATAAACCATCCGAATGAAAAAACTGCAGAGGCCTGGAAATTCACCTCATCCTCGTCAAATCCGACCCTCTACGCGTAGGTAAACTGTACCGTTTTAGGCTCACATTTAACGTCCGTGCAAAATACATTACAAACATAGTATAATATTATAAACGTAATATACAAATGTTCACAGGTTTGGGCGAAATCGTTCGGTTTTTTTTTTGTTGTTCTAACGCCTTAAAAGTGCTATGTTTCTATTTTGACCGTTCCACGCTTGAGTACGGTTCGCGGATTTGGACATCGGTAGGGCAGTCATAACCATTAAATCATGTCCAAAACACGTGTGTACATGTGTTGGTGTTTTAAGGTTTATATCTGACCAGCGCAATATCAGTGAAATCTTTTGTACTGTTGTTACGAAGGGTTGCTGTACAGCTGTATTTTAAGTATGGGCCATATCATTTATCGTCAGACGTACACATTTTAACTTAATTGTGTTAAAAAAATGCTATTTTTTCAATGTCGACCTTTCCGATAAAATTGTGACCGAATAATACCTATTCATTTTAAATGGCCTTCTAAGCACCCATCTTCATGAGTAAATAATGAATTATAATATCTAAAAAACCGTTATCATGAACTTATTTACCCATTTTTTGCAAGAACACGATGACGTGATTACCACGGTCGGATAGGTTGATCCTACTTCTCAAAATACTGTATTGGTATGATATATATAATAATGTTATGTTTCGATACCTCTTACTGTAATGATGTGATTTTTGAAAACTATTAGGGACGTTTAATTAATCGGTAATTCGACAATCCATAAGTTTTTTTCTATCTCCCCGATATTTTATTTTATTGTATCCCAGCTATTTTAAGGATTCTTATTTTATAACATAAGTTTCTATTTTTGTTCACTCTTTGCTTGTATAATGTATATGTATATATATTTTTAATAAAATCCGCTAACCCACACACAACGTTGTGTGTGGGTATCATTTCCTTTAACAGAATAAAAAAGTACCTACATAAATATTATATTATATTATAATTTCTAAGGCGAACTTCGTGTAGTTAAAAGAACCACCAATCCTTGGCTCTTTGCTGACAAAGAATCAAGTTAACACGATACCTTTATTTACAGCCTCAGAGTAGGACATATACCATTACATTTATCGGGAAGAAAAGATTTGTGCATAATATGTATCTGCTGTGAGGCCTGTGACACCCTCCTAAAGTTAAACATATCTTAGCCTTCAGAATATGTAGAACCTAAGCGAGGAAGAGTTCGAAGTGAATTGTGAATCTCCAATATCATCTTTCTGAAGCTCTAAACCCATAAACGAGCAACATCTTCAAACTACTAGAATTTTTATCGGAACAAACCTCATTGGTCAAATATGATAATTATATGATATAATAATTTGATACATTATATTATTTACTTTACACTTGTTTCCTTATTTTATAAAAACCAATATGTTACGTCCAATATAAATCCTTAGATTCCTCGGAAAATAATAATAATAAAAAAAAATAATTTCCATTGAAATGAATTAATATTATATAACAATATTGTGGAAAAGAACTAATTTATTAGTACATGGTTGTTCTAGGTAGAGCAAGTGGCTTTCCTGTGCACTGAAGAACTATGAAATATGCTCTAATAATTAATAATAATGCATTAAATATTCTCAAATAATATTCACTAAAAAATAAATATGATTATATATTACTATTTTTTAATAAAGTACAAACAATGGTCACGAGAAATAAATTATTATACCTACCTAGCTAAAGTATGTATTACAGTATTACATTCGACAGAGTAGTATTCTGTAATCTGAATGACCCATTGATCATAACAATTTGAAGGTTACGACAAACTTATTATTGAATAAAATAATATAAGATTTCGAAATATATTTTCCAAAGTATGTGGGATTTAAAACAAACTATACCAAAATATGCTAAAATATATGCACTAGTTATTTCATCGACAATGTGATGAATCGTATTTTATAGGTAGGAACTTTGTATATTGGCATACAATAGGACCAACCAGAAAAAATATGAAAATTAATTAAATTACTTTTTGTAGTGATTGTATTTTTTTTAGTTGCAGTGACTTATATTTTGACAGTTAATAATTGTTATTCGTATTTATTCACGGTATTGGAAATATTATTATAACGTTTTTGGACGTGGGCCGAGAGTTGTGCCAAGTATCCGAGGCAATCGTATAACGGTCACTAACTACACAGTAACAGCGATCCAACGACGCCGTCACACTGATTGTCAATAATTATAAATATAAAATATAAAACACTTTTCAACGATGGGTTCGATATTCAATAAACCGCCAGTCTATATTCACTGGCTAAGGAAAAACATGACTACATAATCATAAGCAACCGATTTGGATCATAGACTGGCGAAACCCAGTCTCCGAGGGTCTCTGTACTAAAAGCTGATGAAATACGTCTGGTTAGTGGGTTAGCAGATTCCTATGTGATGTATGCATTATACTAATATGAGAACGGACCGGCGATAATTATATTATCACCACTAAATCGTAATCGCCAATAAATAGAACAATTATAATTAGAATGATCGAATCCCTATAATTTGTGTATTTTCCGGTATAGAGAGGCTCTCGAGATGAAACCGAATTTTTATGTTACTACCGCGGTGACGATTATGGTGTGTGTTATTTTATTTCGTAGTAATAAAATCGAGTAGGCGCGAGTACGCGACGGCCATTGAACGAGAGAATAATAATATATTAATATTATATTATATTATATCGAGTTATCGAACGACTTCACCGGGGTAGAGGTGGTTGCAGCGGGGTAGATGTGGTTACAGTGGCGGAGGGGTGGTTTCATCGGGGTAAGGGTGGTTTCATCGGGGTAAGGGTGGTTTCATCGGGGTAGGGGTGGTTGCAGCAGCCTACACGTGCGCGCGTAGGTACGATGAAATCGCATTAGCGGGGGCGGATTTACCCCGATGGCACCCCCGGGCATTCGAAGGGCGTGCAAGCGTTCACCAGCGTTCGCGTCAACAGAGAAATAAAGACAATTTCTGCCGACGGTTATACTAAAACCACTCGGGGAGCGAAACAAAGCGGTCAAAGTTTTTCTTCGTTAAAATATATATTATAGTTTAATAATATAATACCTCCTACTCGATTATTTAATTTCACGTCAGACACTGCCTCTATATACTCATTGGACATCATTATTTTACTATAATATTATTATGTCATGCAGGTACCTACGTCTGTTACTTTAAAAGTCACAAATGTATTTGATATTGTCTTACGTCCTGATATGTTGTGTTTGACTACGTAACACCAATACAATAATTTATATTGTTATTTTTAAGAAGGTAGTACACTATAGCACCTATATAGGCAGTGTGTTGGTCAAAGGGTCGCAAAATACAAAACATTTTTTTGAAAGAATGTTTAACTCTAAGAATAATGGTAAAGGTTTAAAGTTTTCACTCACATTATTCAATGAGTTATTGAAAAAAGACGCGTGACGTCATTGGGCAGGGCTCGCGGTAATTGCCTATCTTGTAAGGGTAAATGTTACTCGCTTCACACAATAATTTACCTACTTTTAAAGTATATTTTCTTGTACGCATGTGGTGTGTTTTTATGTACTGAAAACGTTAGTAGATCCAGAGTTTTCCTAAAGTGTTCAGTTTTTTTGAAATATTTAAAATGTTTATCGAAATAAATTGATGCTCTGCACAGTTGTAACTACTGCTATGTATGTACGTAACGAAAATATCTCTTTTAGTATTTTTATTATTAAAAAAAAAGAAACCAAACCTTATATTGACATTTTGATTCTCTTATATTACCTATCATTTTTCGTACAAAAAATTACCTATTTCCATATAAATCAAAAATCAAAATAATAATCTTTAGTTTAGTAAATCATTGTGTAAAGCGATCAACTTTAACACGCGTAAGATAAGAGGATAATGCCACCCTGACACAATGACATCACGTGGTTATTTTATCTCAATATCTCCTTTTAAATGATATTGGTTTTTAGAATAGATTTTGACAAAATTGTTGTTAGTAGTAGTTCTGACTTCTGACTACAATGACTTCAATTTGTGTGTACTCCTGTTACTTCATTATCGTTAATTATAGGTATATCGTATATCAAAGTAATGAAGTTCCTTTAATCGTTAATAAAATAAAACTACCTTACTTTTGTATAAAAAAGTAAATGTGTTACTCTCGCGTTAAACAAAAAAAAAAAAACCAATATACTAATATTTCTCTAATTTTATGTCAATCTAAAACCAACGTAAATAGAAATAGTGTACCTAATTAAATTTAGTACCATTTGAACAAATGATTGAACTATCGAAGACTGAATTTTCACGAGTTTTTAATATTATGTATTCTTTATGGATATTCTATTTCATAGTACTTATCTATAATGTTTTTCCTATTAAGTGTCGTACTCGAGTAACGCATATCAAAGCCAAATTTACTATAAGAAAAATAACCACTTTTCTTCGTTGTTTTCAATATTAAAGCGTGTTATTGAACTACGGTAATCAAATTTAAAGGTGAACATAATTATATTATCTGGGGCGCTTGATGATATGCTCATATTATTAAGCAACAGTTTTGAGAATCTAAACATTTACGAAATCAGGTAAGTACTCACTCTAGGTTGTCTTTGACCGACACGATGTTGGACGGAGCGTTGGCCAGTACGTACCGAACCAGGTTGGAATCGCCGCGCTGGCTGGCCACGTGTAGAGCTGTCTGCCCGTCCTTGTTGATGGACATCAGAGAGTAACCCATTTCGAACAGATTTCTCAGCTGAAAAACGAAAATGTCGAAAAGAACGTTCAGGCGACGGTATTGTGTGGTGGTGGTGGTGGTGTACCGCGGGCACACAACGACACAATATAATATTATGACTTTTGTCGGTAGAATAAACACAGAAAACGTGTAAATCGGGTTTAAACGGAAATCAAAATAGTACGGGGGCGAACGATTTGAATAAAACATAAAGGCAGGTATATACTATAGTTTGGTACGCAAACAATGAAATAAATTAACGGTTCGTGTAGGTACGCATTATATTATGATGTGCGAAATCCCGCTGCAGGATTTCGTGCAAAAATAACAGCATGTATTGTTGTGTGAAACTTGGGTGCGACTATTCAATTTGTGTTATTGTACATTACCATATTTAAGTTCCCTGTTTTGGCCGCTTCGATTATTTTATCGGAAGTTCGCACTTGACCGTAATGACTGCAACAGAAGACGAAACTTATTAAAAATAATGAAATGCTTACAAAAAAGATTCGCCGATTATCTGCCCCAAATATATTTCTATCTTTCACTCTCGTTTGACGTTAACATATTATATTATTGTTGGGAAATTAAAATTTAAAAAAAAACACACACGCACACTTCCTCAAAACGAAATGCCTAGCGAATCTTTTTTGTAACTTCTGTATGGTTCTGGCCTTATTGATTAGCTGTACTTACTGATCTTCATTTGATTGAAGGTCGAATAGACGATTGTATACTTCACTAAGCGAACATGCAAAATTATAAAAAAAAATAAGAATGTAACGTGCATTGTTATAATATATTGTAGGTATATGTTTTCATGGTAAAAATTATATTTTTATTCACAAAAGTACAATTGTTTTTGATGTAAGAAATCAATGTTTATCAAGTTAGGTACAACGGTTTCATACACTCGTCTTAAATTTAAATGGTTTATATCGATAAGTTTATTTAAATATAACATTTTATTTGATTATACGAGTATGAAAACAAATACATTATATAAATATAATACTCATACGATTCGCAATAAAATTGGAATCAAACGATAAGCGTGTAAATATTTATTTTGTAGGTACATTGTTATTTGTTAAACTCGTTGGCGAGAATGGCGTACGAAAATTGTTACGTTTAGGAACGATTAAAGCTGTGAAGTTGAATGAAAACAAACGTACTGTGTAACGTGTAAGAAACAACAATAATTATTGAATCGAGTAAGTGACGATGATAATAATATTATAAAATAAGACCTGCTGGTACCTAGCTCTTGTGGAATGATTGGTCCCGTTGGTCTGGCCTTCGTCTTGTGGACATTTGACCGTTGACTTTGTTTTGATGCTTTCCAATCGACTTATCTCCGACTTTACCCGCATGCTTTAAACACCAACAACAATAGTAACCCTTTAAAAATGATGCTCCACTTACCTGACCTCGGCGGATCATTATAGCACAATATGACATGTTATATAATATTCTATACTGACCTCGTTGTCGTATCCTGAGCACCTTGGTCGTCGGCCGGATCTTTGGCTTTCAGGACCACCGCCACGTCTTCTTCGGCGGACGGCTGTCTATGCGGATCGTCCAACACGAACAGCTGGTCGTGTGTGATGTCTATGAGGTAGTGAAGGCTCTCCTGGGCCCGGTCGATCCTGAAGAACCGTTCGGCAGTGCAACCTGTTTGGAGTCAAACATTTCAATTGTTTTATTTTTTTATTCACCATGTCTTGTCGTTGTTACAATTATAATAATTTGTAAGTCATAATAATATCATTGTATAATACTCACAGTCGACGAAACACCAATCGGGCGATAGTTTCGGCATGACGTTGCCCACGTGGTCTTTTGACGGACTGTTGTTCAACTCCAACTTGTCCACTAAATTACGCACGGTTTCTAAATCCGCGACCGGTTCCACTTCGATCTCGCCCATATTGATAGCTGAAACCACCGTAATAAAAAGTATAAATAACCTACATATAGGCTTATATGGTATATAGGTACTTGCGAATAAGGTGTAAGATACTTTTTATACAAGTATTTAGATGGAGTTTTATGGTATTTATAAAAATAAACTATAGATTCTCAGAATATAATGAGTCTTTCGAATAATTCAGGATTACGGTGGATTTATAAAATACTTGAAATATAGAGTAATACTTAAAATACTACTCAACAAGTGTTTTGAATATTTAAAAAAAATACCCTTTTTAAGGGTTAAATAGTTTTAAAAACGAGTATTTAAACATTTTTTCAGGAAGAGTTTAAGAAGAGGTTTGATTTGCACACGTCTGTAGAATGTGTTTGCTGGGGATTTATATATTACGTAATATAGAAGTCGTGAATTATAAATAAATTCGGAAACGTTTACTCACACGACTGGATGAGCAACTCTTTGTCACAGTGGTGTTGCTCGTAATCTTGAAGCCTCAGTCTTTGGACCGACACTCTGTGTTTGTCTATCGTGGTCTCGCTGAAAAAAGATAAAACGATATTATCATCATCGAGTCAACGGTGTTTGTGGTCTATTATCTCAACCCGAACGGCTGCCATTCTTACCGGGTAGGCGTCTGTCTGCCTTTGCGACGTTTCGCCATCATCGTTGCCTGGTTGAAGAATCCCAGCGTGATCACCGACGGTTTTAAACGGCAAGCTTCGCCGTCCACTTGCATGGGCACCGGTATACTGGTGGTTATGCGAGCGGTTTTACATTGGCATAACGGTGTCCCAGTCCCTCCAGTTTGCAATCTCGTCTAGACAGTCAGACACATACGTGGTTAGTTTTGAGTTTTCGTCAAGCAGTTGGTAGATATTCTATTATACACCGAATAGTATTTTGTTTTTTTTTTTTTGGATATACGACAAGACAAGACGAGACTGCTGCAATAATCTCAGTCGATAAAGAAATGTAGGTATGGGCCTTACCCATTGATCACGTATGATCAAACAGAGAGCAGCTAGTAACTGTGTGCAACAGACAACAGTGGTTATTGAAATATGGTTAGCAATAATATTAACATTAACAACAAATGCTAGAAATTTTATCACTAGCAATTTTTACGAAATCCTGCTTTACAGATAAACCTAGTCTGTATAATGTAGTGTCTTGTGGCTTTTATCGTAGTCTGATTGGGCCGTTGTAGTATTCGTTGCAAACAATCTATATTCTATAGGGACATTTGTACAGGGTTGGACTGAACTCGACTTTTGGACACGACATGACACGACAGTCGACGTAGCTGTAAACGCGACTTAAACTCATAATAACCATATTAATATAACCACAGCTTATAGTGGTATCCATCTAACACTACTCTTCGGGCATACACAAAATTCCGGGTACTAAGTATAGACAGCGCCCACCCATTTATTTATTTTCTATGACAATTCATTCGAAACGACTAAATCCGTTCATACACCGGACCAAAATTAAAATTAAATTTTCTACGTACTGTCGTTTTTTCTCGGTTCAACAAAAGTGGGCAGTGAACTTTGAATATTTGTTTAAAACAACAAACCAAAGTTCTGGACACGTTTCGCTGGATTCGTTCGCTCAGAAACGGGCCTTTTAACATGAAAATTTTAGAAAATGTCTTCGATTTCGGATAATATTATATAGTGTGACGCGAAAAAAAAACAGATGGCGGTTTAGTCTAATATCTATTGTTACCACCGAAACTTCTAAACTTATCGCTTGTATTGTGTTATAAGCAAACGTTAATTCACTCGATTATTATGTGCTCGGCAAACACTGTGGACGAGAATCGGGAGTAGTGCACAATAATAATTACGACGCGTCCTCTTGACGTTAATTAAAAATCAATCTTTCGGTAAGTGAAACCCGAACTATCGGCAGGTAAGTAAATAACCGTTTGAGTTCCGGCGGAACTATAATGTTATGTTGTGTAAACACGGAAACGCTCACTATTTGCATGATCGTTAAGCCGATGACTTCGATGAGTCCGTCGTCGGTAGAGTTGTTGCCAGCTGACTTGTTCCACGGTCGCGTGCCACCCCCGTAGCTGGGTATGTTTAAAAACAATATGGCGTGCACTTTCAAGTCTTTGATGCGCTGCGTCAGGTCTTTGCCGTCGCACTCCAGCGTCACGTGATCCGACAAACCTTTCCACTTCCGGTCCAGCAGCTCGATACCACCGCGGACGCCGTAAAACAGTTTGTTGTACATCCGCGAGCTGAACTTCTCCGGATTGGCCTCTGGAATGATCACATTAACGGGTATTTATATGCATTTTTTTTACTAATGTCATCAAATACGTTATTGATTAATCTATAATGGACTATATTATATTCAAAGACATCAAAAACAACTAACTTTAGGTAGTTGAGTTAAGTGAACGAGTTAAAAAGTATGCTAAAAGAAGATTATAAATAAAACATTTATAATATAGATAATAAATTAACAACAAAATATTTTGTTAAAAATGTATCCTATACCTCCTATATAAGAGAGTTCTAACTTTTAGTGGTCTAGGCAGTTATACGGTTTTTGTCAACTAAATAAATTATTAAATTTATTTGTTTGTGAGTATTTAAAAACATTGTTTATACAGTGATTAAATAAAAAAAAATAGTTATAGATTTTATATATGTTTAAACATGATTTAAAATGAACGTTTTATATTTCACATTAACTGTGAAAATATAAGTTGCTAAAAAGTTTTAAAAATTAATTTTTTAACTATTTTATGCCCACTCTTGCATAATATAATATTATATAAGGTCCACGTATTCTTTTGAACAAAGAAAACGAAATGTTGCAATGACAGTGTGATAAAAAAAAAAAAAGGGGTTATCTGTTTAAAACGGAAATTAACAGATATTTTTATAAAGAGATGGTGTGGTGATTGAAGTGGCGTACTAAACGAGCCATTTCCTCAAAAGAGAACACTATCGGGATCTGTGTCAGGTATAAATGTCATCACCATTACCTCTGGCTTCGTGGAATTCGAGTGCAATCTGAGCGTCTACGCCCAACGAGAAGTAATTATTCACCACGTTCAATGGTAAATTGTCTTTACCAGCGTGGTCCGTCCCTTTAACCTGTTCATTGGGCACCACATCCAAGTTCCAGCGGTCCAACCGGATCGTTTCGCTTTCTTCCAAGTTGGTCAGTATTTTTGACACCGGCTCGTCCATATAACCCTGGAAGAAAATTTATTTTAGAATCTTTGAACATCGGAGAGGATGCGTATGGCATTTGAACGATCTTCGTTCAACGCGATATTTTTCAATTGTCGTATATATACGCCATACGCGTATTATGCTGGTTGAGCTTACTGACATTTGAATAGGTATTGTACAATAGACATTTTAACAACTATATTATATTATTACATAGTAAGATTTAACATATTATGGAAAACACTGAGCATATTATGTGAAAATAAAGTTATCGGTAAAAAATAATGAACTTAAACATTGGAGTGAATAGATTTGAAGATTTAAACTCGCATCACATTTTTTATATCAGCTGTCACTTGAAAACGGTGATTTTTTTATTCAAGCCTACAAACGTCAACCATATGGCATTGAAATAGGCGCATCGTTATAGTTCGTTGAAATAAAAAATGGCGTATCTACAGATCGCTCTTTTACACAATAAAAAGAAATAAAAAAAATGTACTTTGTCGCGGTTTCTATGATCGAATATAGGTAAAACATATATATATATATACACTTTCGGCTTATTGTAGCCTTTGGAATGATGTGTCCCTTCCCGTATAATCGATAGTGTATACGATCAATACAGGCACGCACAATCGTTCACTTTTCGGTGCAGTTGATTCAAGACGAGACGACGTTCGTATTAAAAAAAATTAATGAAAATAACGTTTTCGACAGGTAAGTTAGGTAGATTTATCGGTTACCCACAAGATTGTTTCGAAATAAATTGCAAGAACAACACACGGGTTTAGTCGATATAGGCGTAATAAGGGTTGGAAAAAATAATTGAGACAAAAGTATCTAAATACAATAAATACTAGATAGATACCATTATTAACTACGTATACAAGGTACCTACATTCGGAATTTCGGAAAAAAATACTGAGCACATCAATTGTTTACTTCAGAATTGATTAAATTTAAAATACTTCAATGTTATTTGCTCAGTTTAAGAGAAAAAACGGTACCCTATATGTATAGTCATACCTACACCATGTCACATTATCACCATTATCTGGATTCAATATTTCAATGATAATATTATGGTTTTTTATGATTACAAAACGTTGACCGTTTTAGATGGATTCATTTTTAATTTATTTATTAGATTTTTAAATAAAATTAAAAAAAATCTTTTAAATAATTAATAATTAATAATAATTCATTTTTAATTTCTAAAAAAAACAAAGTATGTTGATCCGTGTCTTGTATTTTTGAGCAAAAACAAATTAATTAAAGATGTACAAATGTGAAAGGCATGACAAGATGATACACATGTAGGTACCTAAGATACTTTAGATACTTGTATCTTTTTTATAACGTGACACAGCGACACGGGGGGGTTGGGCTGGTTGCACATAATATGCAGCATTGCAAATTCATCATACTGGCATAATTTACGATGTACAATTGGGTTGCCTTGCATCTAAGACACTGCAAATCCCTGGGCACATAGAATATAATGTATTATTGCAGTATGTTCATATTATTATACTTACGCCGCCCCAACCGAGAGCTCTGGCCAGGTCATTGCCAGTGCCCAACGGCAGCACACCCACCGGAAACGACACTGCGTTGGCTATTTGGTCCAAGATCGACAGCACCCACCCGACGGTACCGTCTCCACCGCACGCCAACACCCTGAGGTTCGGCACCTTCTTGTACAGTTCCAGGCCCATCCTGGGACCACCCCGGCTGAGGTCGAAAACCTGCCTGGGATTCAGGTGCCACTGGAATTTTTGCAGCAGCTTAACACCCTGGTTGCCGCCAGACTTTGGGTTTATAAATATTATCACAGGCTTGACGTTCACCGTCGGGATCGGTTTGATAACGAACAGCTTGTCTTCTTTGTCCGGCTGCATAAGACAATAATAATATATTATTATAAATACAATACTGTACAAGACAATATATAATTTAGTATTAACACGATACAACAGTAGGGGCGAGTAAATAGGGGATCTCGGGGAGACTAAGACCCCCCTTCCCCCAAAAAACTCCAAATCAGATCCTCATCAAGTAAGTATCTACTAATAGTATATTTAATTTATTAATAAAAAAATAATTATTGAAATATTGTTTTTGTTAGCACATTGTTCCTGATAAGACGTGTTAACATGTTGTTTTGTGGCTCCGTATGGTGCTGTGTGTGCATTCAGTTATGAACCCCGTGCTGAGTGTACGCACCAGCCGGTGTCACTATAGCTCCCGGATGGGTGACCACCCGAGATTTTTAGTGACAAATCCTTGTCACACACTCGTGTCGAAAACCTATTGTACCCTCCTCACAGTACCCCAGGCTCAGGACCTCAGTTGTCAAAACCTTAACCTCAGTAAAAAAACAAAAAATTGTTACGTTGTGAGGATAATATGACCAGACTGTGTAATATTATAACACGATGACATGTGTGTATATTTTACTCCACTAAGATATAAAATTATATTGAATCCAAACTATGTGATTGATGTAAAAATAATTAGTAATTATAAGCAACGTTTAAATCCAATTATGAGGGACTTGAAAATAAAAATTAACAATTTGTTCGTATGTTGATTATAAATAATAATAAACAATATTAATGGTAAATATGTACGTTCATTTTAAGATCACATGGGCTCAATGAGCTCACGTTTGATATCGATTTAGGTTGGTTGTCGGTTAGTGGGTGGTTATGGTTAATCGATGTTTACCATTGTATAAACGGAATAATATAATATTAAACAGTGAGTTTCCGCTAAATGTAATAAATAGGTTATAGAATCAACTATTTATTAGAATTACAATTTAAACCCAGTCATAATATTATATGCTTGAAGGTAATGTTTGAATTACTCTTTATTAGAATCACTATGTGTACCAGGTAACTAATTTATTATTTGTATGGCTTCAAATAGGTAAAATTAGATCCATAAATATAACGGACACATACTAGTTGCGGACGAATTATTCAGGTTAGGAATTATAATATAACAATTGCGGACACGAGCTTCGTTGTCATAATACTAATTGCGTACAGAGCTTTTTTTAATAAAAACTACGTTAGTTGAGGACACAAATATTTCCCTTCACCACTTTTTCAGAACTTATGACAATAGCTAAAAAAAAAATTGGTAGGTGGGGTTAAAAATATTTGTGTCTTGCAAAAGAGCAATCGTTATTTTTAAAATGTTGTTGAATTATAGATTGTTTTAATTTTGTGGAAAAATTGTTTATAAAATATTTATAGATTATCGTCATTATTAATTATCGTCATAGTTTTTAAAGCAGCCTGTATATATGATATTCTACTGATTTTACCACGTGAATATTGGAAATTTGGAACATTATCCGCAATTAGTATCTTATATTTGTGTCCGCAATTCGTATGTTACCTTTTTAGATTTCGTCCGCAACTCACATGGTTTTTGTCACTTTGTCCGCAATTCGGAAACACCGAATATAACAACATAACGAGGTAATTTTAGGTTAAGTAGGTATTAGTCTAAAAATTAAATTACGCAAGTGTAATCATCAATTGAGATGCATTTATTCATTGTAATTCATATTTTCAAAAAAATATAATATGCTTAATTTTTCTAAAATTTGTGATTATAATAATAAAGGGTAATTCAAAAATCTGTTTTATGGAATAATGATTCTATTAAAAGCAACCAGTTTATAGGATCGTAATATTAGGCAGGTTAAATGTATGAACGTTATTACTGTAAGAGCATATTATAATAGGACTACAGATCGAAATTTGGTTTTTATAATACATGGTGTGTCGGTGTAGTAGAATATCATACAAATAGGTATTGACTATTATTATCATATTATAGCAATGGTTTCATTGGTTGGCATTGTGTCAATGAATAAAAATAAAAAATAAATAAAAAAAAGATACTATTGGTACAATAAATGTTTGTTGTAAAAATATTGTAAAATCGAATCGCGATAATATTTATTATTATTACCGTTATAAACCGATGGCGATAAAACCGCTGTGACCGTTGTTGCAGTTAATATAATACAAATAGGTGTTTGTTGAAGATTTAATATCGTAACAAAGTATAGTCGCTGAAAACTGCAAGAACACGACGCGTACATAGTGTCCTTACTTTCTTAGACTGTATCACAATATAGTGTGGCCCTCGAAAATAAAGTAAACGCCACCTGACCGAATAAGTCTCAACGAAATCACGAATCCCTGAGGTTGGTCACATTGAGTGAAATGCGACCCCAGTTACGCGCACTAATGGGCAGACGCTACTAATGAACCGTAGCTTAGCTTTGTACCCGTTTAATGATGCTTCTGCACTTCGTGTCTAATGTTTATTTTTCGTTATTTATTTTACGAAATAAAAAAAGAAAGATAAAACACACTCGTAATTTGTATACGTGCTAATTGTACACGTAAATAGCGCTCGAATTGCGCAGGAAACAATAGTGGCGAAAGCTTCCTAAAAACGTGCACTCCTGTAAACATACGTTCATTGATATACTTTTAGAAATCGTTTAAAAATCAGATACACTTTGAAACATATTCTAGACATATTCTAGACAAATTCAAGAGACACCACCTACCCCCTCCCCCCTCCCGCAAACCATAACTCGGACATGATATTACAGTGAAACTTCCATATAACGAGCATCTATTTAACAGAATTTTCGGTTTCACGAAATATTTTTAGGCACCACATCAAAATATTAGAACTAAGTTTATTTAATTCTGTATAACGAAATATTCTCCGTAATACCAATTATTATTGTGTAATATGAAAGTTTTACTGTATGTCATGTTTATCGTATAGTTTATCGAACGAGTTGGTTATAATATAATAGGTAAGTACCTATTTATAATTATATTATATTTCACGACGGAAACTATTCAAACAAATTACAACATAATTATGTAATTATGCAGTGTGTATTGTGTACTCATCGGACGGCTTTATAATAATATTAGGTATATTAGATATATTATCTAATTTAAAGTTATTTTTTGGTTCATCTTTTACTGCCCACCCCGCGTTTATATCCGTTCAATACAATATAATAGATCCTCGTTTTAAAAACAATGCTATTGTTGTATAAATTATATAGATTGGTAAATTGTGAATTTCTCTTGGAAAATGCGTTTAAAACGTATTTTTATTCCACTTTTTAAAATAACTTTTTTTTATCTATATCCAAAGTATATTGAAATAAACCGCCGTGATAATTCCAGCCTCGTTTATCGATCATAAAAAATAACACTATTGTTATCAAATTACCGGCATTCTGACGCATTATAAGCACAGAAATCGATAAACTATGCCCTGCACACTCTCAAATTTGTTCATAACTACGTCAGTCTCTTTTTATATTATTTTGTATATACCTACATTTGTAATATTTATTTAAAGTCCCAAAGGCAAAAGTATACGAAGTAATATTTATGCAAGTTAATACAATCTGAAAGAAATAAGAGCGGAATATAAATACAAAATATAATGAACTAACAAAATATAGAAATATTTTCATTAAACCTTTTTTTTATACAATAATATATAAAACAAAAGCAAAATTATAATTAAATTAACGAAGAAATTTTTTTAACTAAATTTAAAAGACGAAGTCACCATTTTAAATTGTTTTATAATATTCATAATAGTATTAATACTTGGGTATAACATAATAGCTGTATAAGGTTGGACAATTCTGTGGAAATTCGTGGAAAAAAATTCTTAATTAAAACGAGTTCACGGTGTCCATAATAATATTAAGTATCATGTTTGTAAACTATAGTAAACTTAAGAAATTCAAATTAAATATCAAGTCAAAACTATAAAACAAAAGTCGAGACGAAAATTCCTAGTTAATTATTGACAACAGCTGATAAAGGTAAACATCCTCATAGTGTTTATTACTAAGGTTATAATATCAAAGTAAAAGTGTTGTAGTATCACTCCAGAGCCTATCATACAAATTAAGCACATAAAATAATAAGATACTATTAACTAGGTTTAACAATAATGGTTTAAAGTTAAGTATAATATCTATTGACCTTTAGAGGCACTTGCTTTACTATGACTATAATATTTATTTTGGCATGGGAATTGATATGATATAGGTATTATAATAAATACTATTTAAAAAAATAAGAGAGAACTTTAGAAAACCAACATTTTAATGCTTTTATATAGTATTTCTGGAAATAACAATCTCCGTTCTGTGACCCTCTTGGAACTTCCAGGGAATTCTTGGAGTGCCAACGTTAAATAGTTGTTGCTGGGTAAAAATTAAAGAAAATCATGTGATTTCTGGAAATAAACGAGGAATAATTTAAAACATCGTTCTTAATCCTCATGTTTAGTCCCTTTATGATGTCCCTTTATATCCCTTTATTATGGTCGGCTTACAAATTCCAAATACCAAAAAATGTAAACAAATTCATTTATAAAGGAAAAATGGGGGGCGAGTTTCCTCAGCGGTGAAACCACTTTCACCCAACTCTCTATATATATATTGGTGCAATCTCCTCAAAAGACCCGTCTAAGTACGATTAAACGTGAACAGTGAGAATATTGAATTTCACCGTCGTCAAGAAACACGCAGCACTTACAGTTCGTGTACGACGACGATGCCGACGAAAACGATTGTTATATAGTCTGTTTCGTCAGCGAATTTCGACGTGCGTTGTTTGAATAACTAACGTCTCGCAACTTTTAAGTTTTCGCCAAATCCCTCCAATATCATCCCTCCAATATCATCCCTCTCCTCCGTCTCCTGCTACGTACCGTCAACCGTTTGCCGAGTTTCGAAACATCATAATCTTGAGCATCACCGCCACTATAACACCTGAAACGTTGCCTATATAATATTATACACTGTCAT